TTGAAAATAAGATTAAATGGGACACAAAGGTGCTTTTCACGGATTTGACAGAGCTGGGAGGGGGTTTCGACACCCAAAACCCTCCCCCTGGATCCGCGCCTGCAGTCTGCGCAGGTGTACGTCACCGTAATTTGCAACCTGTTCTATAGCCCTTATGCGTATAGCGGCCATCTTAGAGGGCATTTTCACTTCACGTTCACGACCAAAAAAAATGTGACAAAAGTTCATCCTGAGATAATCGCATTTGAAGTTATTCATTTTTTCAAAAGACATTCTCGACCACTTTGCAGTAACAGAATTCGAAAATTTTTGCATTGTCCGATAGGATATGATTCGCTCTTTGTTAATTCATAGTTGTTTGTTAAAAATAGTGAGTAATTAAACGTAAATCATTAATAAAACTTTTTTGCACTTCGTGAGAACATCAATACTTTGGCTCCCATATTTTGCCAATTACTTTGTACACAGTTTTTGTCACTTCATGGGATCATGAATCGTGGAGGCTTTACTTATTTGTACTTTTTCCCGACGCAACAAACTTGTTACTTTTGCGCGTCACGACAGTTGAGCGCGCGCGCGTCTGTTCTTTTTAGACATCGTTCACGCGCGCGTGTATGCTCCCACCCTGCCGCGTGTTGACCAATGTATAATTCCTCTGGCCCCCTGCTCACGAGGTGACTTTTTGCCACTTCGTGAGAATAATTTACTCTTTTTTACACTTCGTAAAAATGAAAATCACCGATTTAAGGCTTTTTGTCAATTGTTGTTTACAATAATTAAGAAAGTAAAGAATATTTTGCCTTCAAACTTGGTCAAATTGTTCCTTGAGACAACTATAATAAAATGGCTAGTAAAACTGAAAATCGAATAATTATCGATTTTCGAGGTTTTTGTCACTTCGTGAGCAAAGCGACGAATTAATGGTCTATCAGATTCCAATACGAACATCCTTGATTATTTTGTTCGAGAGTTGTAAGTGAAAGAAGTTGCTCACTTTTTCAACTAAAATCGCTTGTAAAGTTTATACCACAAACCGTTAAGAAAACCCGCGGAGAATTATTGTTCGGAATCAAAAAGAAAGAGAGAAAGACGGAAAGAGAGAAACAACGGTTTATTCGAACGATTCTAAAAGGGTGATCAGATTGTGCCCGATCGCCCAATAAAGGTGTCCGGATTCAGTTGATACTTTATTGCATATATTCAAGTACGTGTTTCGAACTTAAGCTTTATTTTTTCACACTTCCACATTCTGGGGAGCCAGCGGAAATCTACATGTAAAAAAACCCCATCGCTTGCATGCTGTCCGCAATTATTATCTAATTTTCTGGCCAATCGATTTTGCTGCGATGCCGCTCAATCTTCTCCACTTTTTTTGGCATTTTTACGCGACATCGGTGTATTTTGGCTACCTGTCCCAGTCCGCGCAGGCTCTGCGTCTCTGTAATTACCGCCTGTTCTATTTTTATCCAAACGCAGCGATATTACTACCTCATATGCCGCTATTACTACTTCATATGAAGCCAGGCTACTTTCCCCAGTAGCCGTTAGCTTTTTTTTGTTTCTGAGAGACTATAATTTTGGTTTTCTGGAGGTCAGTCTGCAGTCTGCTGATGATGGCGCTACCTCGATCAATATCTGGTTGAAAATTTATAATCAGTGGCGAAAAACTGTGTCGAGGCTTTAAAACTTCCGAATCTTAAGGCCAAGTTCGGGCAAGGAGCATAGTCGACTAGTGGTTGATTTGTGACGTACCATATGCCTGCGCACTAGTAATAGCAACATGCGAACGTCTCTAGTCAAACGCTGGTCTAAATGTCATCGCAAAACTTCTGGGTCCTGGCTCCCTGCTGTACGTTATGAATGCGCGCGGCTATTGGTTACCAGCGATGCAACCAACCACAGCTGGTTCCAAATAGTCGACTGGCGTAGTCAACCACCGTCGACTAGACAGAGTTCGGGCTAACTTTAGTCGAACTATGGTTATCCAATGGTCAACAACAGTACTTGCGCGAATTTATATGACCACAATGTAGGCTAATATTTTTCTTTTACCTAGCCGATCTGTGCAGGTCTAGTCTAATTGCAACCTGTTCTGTAGCCCTTTTGCGTATGGCGGCCATCTTAGAGGGCATATTTTGTCTTTTACATTTAGTAACAATGAATGCACAAAAGGTTCACGCACGCATATCCCAGCAAAACAAAGCTAGTTTTGCCATCTAAGATGGCCCACTACGCATAAGGTTTATTGAGGAATTTCACGTGACGTCACAGGTCAGCGGGTCACCCACACACCCGCCATATTGAACGTCTACGGTTGCAGACTGACATGACGTGTGACGATTTCTGATGACTCGTGCTGTGACAATCAAGCTAGTATTTTTTGTTCCATAACAATATTCATTTGTTTTAATGATAAAAAATAGTATAAATGAAGGTGTCCGGATTCAGTTGAGACCCTTCATTACTTACACTATTGTCTAAGTGTTTTAACTTATTCCTGACCATTAATTGGAAACATATTTTGTGCAACTTTCTACTCCTCTTAAATGTATGAAAACAACTTAACATCCCCGTTTTGGTTCATTGAATAGTGCACTTCTTTTAAACATTTAAAATTGTCCATTCTATTCCGGACAAATGAGGGGGCTATTGCTGTGATGTCATTTCAGGAAGTGACTGTTCAGTTGAGGGGTTTTCTGTTCAACTAATGAACCCAAAATTTGCTCATTAAATGATTTTGTGAGAAAACATTGCTCATTGGCCTACTGTCATACTGACAACAACAACGAATCACGAAGGAAAAGAGAATTTAGACACCAAAATATCCCAAATTCTGGCAAATTTAGTGCTGAAATAGCTGTAACATTGAGTTGTCTGCATGAATTATATGAAATGACATCACAATTTTGCTCATGAATATGAATATTCGCATTAGCATTAGGCCTAAACCAAAAAGGAACCAAAATGCCGTTAAAAATGGCAAAATGAAAATTGAAAATAAGGTTAAATTTGACACAAAAATGCATTTTAATAAAAGGATTGCATTACAAAAATACATTACATGGGCCCTTTCATTATAAGAATTCTCAATTCTTCGCACTTCCACATTCTATAGAGAGCTCGCGCCTGCAGAAATCTATAGATGCGAAAAACACGATTCCTTGCTGTCCAATTAAAGGCCGGGGAATCGATTTTATTTTTACCTGTTCAAGTCTCTGCAGGTCTACGTCGCTGTAATAACCACCCGTTCTATTTTTATTAAAGTGGACTGAGCGATATTACTACCTCATTAGCCCCGAAATGATGCCGCTGCTAAATCATTCTCAAAGAGTAGGTTTTGAAGGCTAAATGCCGTTCCCCGATATATGTTACCTTTTGTCTGCGGGTCCGTGCACGCCGCGACCCTATTATGGCGCTACTATTATGTAGGCCTACACTCGAACAATTACTAGTTGAAATTGGACCAGAATATATACCAGTGGTGTAAATCTGTGTCGACACTATAGGAGGATGAGGCCGGCCTGAACAAAATCCTGAAACTTCCCCACACGTGCTGAAATCAGCTGCACCCCACTTGACACTAGATGGCGCTGTTCTTTCATTGAAATTATTGTACGTATTAGGCCGAGTAGAAAAATAAGATATTTTTAATCATTCGAAAGGAGAAATAATAATTGTTCAAATAGATATTTTCCGTCGAGCATGGATTGCATGCCTTTTCAATTAAACAAGACATATTGCCCCGTTTCCCACATGCGACAGCTTGATGCGCATGATCATGAGGCGTCAACAAATCAACTTCAAAGCACTCATCAGAGAGCGCAATTAACCTCCGCCAAGGTTAAATAATTCCCCGCCATATTGTCAGTACACCCAAAAGAAATACTCGCATAAATGGTGAAGAATTAATAATAAAAAATCCTGGGTCCAGACCCATGGGCCAATTTCATAGAGCTGCATGCACAAAATTTGCTTAAGCACAAAAACGTCTTGCTTAATAAAATCAGGTTACCGGCCAAAACTCCATGCGATTGTTATGCTAACTAAACAACAGCTAAATACCAGTCACAAGCAATGTACATCACATGGAGTTTTGGCCGGTAACCTAATTTTACTAAGCAATGTTTTTTCGTGCTTAAGCAAATTTTCTGCTTAAGCAGCTCTATGAAATTGGGCCCAGGTCCATGGGCGTCGCCAGGATTTTTTCTAAAGGGGGGCAACATTTTTTTTTTGCCAAAAATGCTTGCATTTCTCAACATATTCTCGATTTATCAGTTTAAGAGGGGGGCAGGGACATTTTGCCCCCCCCCCCCACCCCCAACTCATTAAATATACACCACTTTGTCTTCGCGCCTCTTTTTCTTTTCTTTTTTCTTTTTTCTTCTTCTTCTTCTTTTTTTTTGCTTTTCCGGGGGGGGGGGGGCAAGTGCCCCCCTTGCCCCCTCCTCGCTACGCCCATGCCCAGGTCCGGATCACTTCCAAAATCTAATCGATTTGTAGGCCTACTTGTACCACGGACCATTTACACAAGGACCACCCCTAAAAAAATGTTGGCAAATCCGTCCATAACTTTTTGAGTTATCTTGTTATCAGATAAACCAGCCAGCCAACCAACAAACTAACCAAATCCGATGAAAACATTACCTCCTTGGCGGAGGTAAAAAATACTTCCAAAATTATCCTACAAAATGCTATTATTAAAAGTTATTGGGTTTTTCAATGGAACTTATCATTGGTGCAAACGTCTACGTAAAAAAAAAGGTGTTGCTGTGTTGAATTAAATTTCTGGATAAAAGGTCTTGATGATTCCAGCGTCGAAATTATAGACTTCAGAGCTTTATCACCGATTATGTTGATGGAGAGGGTTGTTCAAGAATCCTCATTCGTGAGGGGAGGGAAATTAATTTAACAATTACGTCTTGAATCAAGGCTAATGTACATGTATATAGTTTCTGTCTCTCTTTGAAAGTAATATATAATATCAAATTTGAATATTACAGAAGGACTGCCGAAGCACACAACTACCTGATCCTACTTCAGATGGTGAGTTAAAAACAATATTTGAACTCCATCCTTACCTGTTGTCTGTAAACTATAAACTCCCCGGAATCCCCGCAAGATTAAGAAGGCTGAAACCAAACCAAAAAAGCAAGCCCCCCCCCTTCCAATACTTTTTTGTCCAACTCAAAAACTACTGAGCAACTCTCTTTAGCAATCCAGCCATACTCTTTATTTGGCCCAAACGGTGATAATGTGTACGAATTCAGTGCACTTAATGATACAGAAAACAGTTGCACTTGTGTATACATGCAAGTTGTGGTTCACATTCACCTTGCTCGTATATAAGTGAGACCTTTTTTCGGTACCATTTATCATCAATTGCATAATTGTGTACACCTTATCACTGTTTTTGGCCAAACAAAGAGTATGGCTGGATTGCTAAGGAATTTCTGTACTGATCAGTCGTAATTTGAGCAAGATGTGCCCAGTAGTTTTTGAGTTAGATTAAAAAGTATTAACGGGGACTTTTTTTTTGGTTGAGTATATTTACGAGTGGGTCCAATAGTGACATATGTCCCTATCTTTTTTGGTTAAGTCAATGATCAATGATCATTACTTTCTAAAATGGCTCCACGATAAAAAGTAAGAGTTATGAAATCCAACATTTTAAATCTTCGGACATTTTGTGAAACTATACAATAAGACACCAAGAACGTATATGTGTCGAATATTTTGGTTAGTGTTAAATACTCGTACCCATACTCGAATGTCAAAGTACTCGTACTCGACATGTCGAACTTGTACTCGATCATCAAAGAACTCGTACTCGAATAACAGTTGACTTACCACGGCCTTATTTAATCGATACTTTCAGTTTGAAATGGTTGATTGGTTGATTGGCTTGCGGAGAAATCGAAAGTTTCCTGATTGTCCTCTGTGCTCGTCCGGACAAACATATTAACAGCTAGCCGTGAGTGGGTCTGTATATCGGTCTGACTGAGCCTGGGCCAATTACGCACAATGAACCATACGAGTACGAGTATTGTACTTCTGAGTACTCGTATTACTCGTACTCGGAAGTACAAGTACTCGTACTCGTACTCGGAAGTACAATACTCGTACTCGGAGACCTGTACTCGTACTCGGAGACATGTACTCGTACTCGGAAGTACAAGTAGGCCTACGGGTACTCGTACTCGGCAACCTAAAGTACATTGTACTCGGCAGTACTCGTTACTTGGGAGAAAAGTACTCGACTACAACACTGGTATTATATACCACACACACAACGTGTACGCTGGATAGACACGACTTGGAATACGTATGCATGGGTATGCCACGAAATGTCCGGACCTCCGGGGCATCCGATGTAAACAACCGGATTTTTTTTCTCGTCTTTTCTCGGGAACGGCAAGACATTATAGGTTAGTTTTTTTTCAACCAGACCTTTAAAATAGGATAAGCAAACAATCCAAAACATGACATTTTCGGGGATTTTCAGGCAGTAATACCCCTTTAATGTTGACCGAACTTGTGATGGACTCAATAACAACAGTGTTTGGATTTAATTTCCAATCTCGGAGGCTTTTGTAATTTTTTTTATCATACATTTATCTCTATTTCGACACAGTTTTCGAGGCATACCCTATCTTCAGAACCGTCGAGTTGTTCTCTAGCGTCGACGCATTGAAGGCGAACGCCCGATGCGCAGAGAGCGGCGCCAAGCTGTGTAACCTGGGCGATCTGTTGAGGGCGTACGAGGTGGGCTACCGCCACGACCAGTGGGGCTTGTTTGAACATTATGGGGGCTTGTTTGAACATGATGGTGGTTCAGGCGCTAAGTTGATCGCGTGCAACCCGAGTGAAAGAGAGGATTGCCTCGGGATGCCGGGCGAGACGAATTATATTCATCATCAAAATCCAGCGACTGGGGATCTGCAAGGGTTCTGCTGCCCTCATTGTTATCAGTTCCAAGGTGAGCAGGGGCCCAACTTTACGGGTGCGTTCGTTTAGCTCACCCGGGTCGACACGGGTCAGCCCCGTGCCGTTCGATTAGCTCATTTTTGGGGCTCACCCGGGTCAGCCACCACAGAACCTGCTCGTGGAGGAGAGTCACTGGTAGAAGCACGTCACGCATGCGTTGTTCATTCCCTAGAAACGGACAAATATGGCGGCCGGACAGCGGATATCTCAAGTGGACTTAAAAGTTGACTTTATTTGAAGTCTAAAGGTAACCTTTGAGTTCATTGCGATTTTTGAGGCTATAATTACAGCTCATTTTTTTTTTAGTTTTGCAATTGACCAAAAAAAGCAGTAAATCTCAAACTAAGGTCCAATCCGAAGCGGCGTTTTGTCAGTGGCTACGGCCGCGGCCACGGTCGTCCTGCGAGGGTCGTGATCGATGGCCCGCGGTTGAGCGTTCGAATTAGCCCGGCTGTCGTGGCTGAGCCCGTCTGCCAAGTTACCCGTGTTGACCCGGGTGAGCTAAACGAACGCACCCAAGCTGTTAAGATTAAGGCTAACCGCATGTGTTTTGCATAGAAAAACAAAGTTACCTTCAGCAATTGGGTTGCCACCAACCAATTTATTGGCATACTTCAGGGTGAGTAAAAAAACCCCGAAACCCAAATGTCGGGACCATCACTCTAAAAACTGTGTTTAGCAATTAAACACTATCTTGCTATCACTTTGTAAACATGTTTAGATGCTAAACATTACGTGTCCAATTGCTAAACATCAATGTTCAATAGCTAAACACTGTCCATCCTTACTCTAAACATGTTTAGTATTTAAACATGTTTACAAACTGATAGCAAGAAAGTGTTTAGAAAAGTGTTTAATTGCTAAACACCGTTTTTGCAGTGATTGTTTAGTGAAGTTCTGCATGTAGCACTTTCAAAATCTAAGATATGAAAGCTCATTTCATAAGCTGTTTTTAAGTATAAGAATCAATCAAATCACTCAATGTTACGGAATTTTAAACACAACCCCAGGCGCGGTTCTAGAGCCAATATTTTTTTGGGGGGGGGGGGGGGCTAGCAAGGTGAATCCGGGATTTTTTCCAGGGAAGCATGCTGAAATGTAAACCGGTTATTTTCTCCGGACACTTAGGCCTCTGAAAATCAATTCGTTGGGGGGGGGGGGGGGGGGGGGGCTCGTGTCATATTTCGTGTCATATTTTATCAGGAGCGCTGATAAAATCCTACAATGGGGCACACTATATTAACTAAAAGTGTACAAATGCATGCACCCTTCTCATTTAGGGGGAGACAGTTCCCATGTAGGTCAAATTCTTACATTTTGCTAGTGCATTTTTTTTTTACGAAATTTTTTGGGGGGGGCTAGACAAAAAAAATATTTTTTTTTTTTTTTTGGGGGGGGGGGCTAAAGCCCCCCTAGCCCCCCGTAGAACCGAGCCTGACAACCCCCGTTTTAAAGTTCTGTCAAGGGATCACAAAAAAGGTACTTGTGTTCTTTCAGCAAAACGAAAACAAATCTGATAGGGATGTGTGTGAATTGTTTTCGTTTTGCTGAAAGAGCGCACACCTTTTGTGAGCCGTCGACAGAACTTTAAAACGGTTTAAAACTTGAACATTAAATGGATGATTCTTGTACTAAAGCTTATGAATTGGGCTTCTATATGCTAGATTTTGATAAAATGATAGTGCTACATGCAGAACTTAGGCCTAACTTTAACATTATAACCCAACATTTGTGGGTTTTTATACTCATACTATTTTCTATAGTTTCTGTTTGAAATTCTACAAGACTGCAATTTAATGTCAAAACAATAATTTCTCCAAATTTGCACTGACAAAACAGTGATAAATGCAATGACGATAATTGTGTCCCAGTAATCACAAAAAACCTCTTTCACGTTCTCATCAGGATATCCCATCCTCAGACGCAGAAAGCCCGTATATTTTCACGAAAGAGACCGTGTCGGAGATTTTTGCAGGGAGTGCAGTCTCTTCCCGTGCAGCTTGGACCAGATGAAGGCCGCCTACGAGGCAGGTTTCCGAGATGAGCACTGGGGCCACATCGACTTGCGAGGAACGGAGATCAGACCAAGTGCCTGCACGTCAGAGGAGATCGCTGCCGGCGGTTGCTCTTTCCCCGACGAGGGCTTGATTCCGAACCGCACCGCGCCCGCTGACGTCGATTCCATCTCTTACCCCTATTGCTGCCCCAAGTAGGCCTATTCGTTAACACCATCGGTTCAACAAGCTCTGACAGGAGCTTCTACATCTAGTCTGGTTCCAAGACCTGACAATTGTTCCCGACGCTCATGTCTAAATTGTAGGTCAGGAAGCCTCCGTGAATAAACATGACGACATTGACGGCCCTTTTTTTCAAAGCTCGGCTTCGTTTCCGAACTCGTTTTCGTTTCACGTATAACTTTTAATGTTCAGATAAATTTTTAAAATAAATCACTTGCTTTATAATATCATACAGTAATTATGATAATACAGTTTGATATTTCTGTAAGAAAACATTGACTAATGTTGACCTGGAATCTTCAAAGTTAGGCACCCAAGTAGCACTGTTAGCAGGCGGAGCCGAATGGAGACCACGCCGAGTTTTGGAAAAACCCGGTAACGGTCGTCAAATTCAAAATAGTACATGACACAGCAAAAAGTTCTCCCCTCGTACGATCTGAGTGTACTTGATGCACAAAATCGTCGTTAATTTCAAGCTTTCTAAATGAAAGCAATGAATATTAATTATCAACTCGTTGTTAAAAGTTTTTAATATAAGCAATTAGCAGTTGATAAACCTATATTATACTAGGAAATACTCGCGCGCTATCCGATTGTCGACGAAATGAATTCGGCAGACTTCGGACATGGCAGACACGACGAAACGACGGACACGACGAAATGAATTCGGCAGACTTCGGAAAAAGGAGGAATTCCTCCCGTTTTAGGCACGTGACGTAAATTCTAATACAATTTGTGTAATATAATTGAGGCTACCTGACCTAAGATTCATCAGGGATAGTCAAAATCGTTTGGTCTGGGAACCAGACTACTTCTACATCATGTCACTTGGTGGTCGGTCGGTCGGTCTGTCTGATCCCGAAGATTGACCCAAAAAACTTACCAAAAATATTGACCAAATGCCATGCCGTGGTCATAAAATGGTTTTGTTTCGATCGATGCGCATGCGCGTTTATTTTGCATAATAATGTCTGTTCCCGAAATTCATATGTAGCCCGATATGTGACAGAGGCCCCCCCCCCCTTTGCGTCAAGGGCGGATCCAGAGGGGGGGGGGGCCAAAGGGGGCCATGCCCCCCCCCCCCCAAAAAAAAAAAAACGAAACCAAATTTTTTTTATGTGACATCGCAATAAAGGCAGGCAATGAGTACACCACCATCTTTTCCTCCTGAAAAACATTGGTAAAAGTGGTCAGAAATTGCCTCAGATCGCACCACAGAGCATCTAGAATCCAAAAAAAATTCGGGGCCCTTAAGCGGGCCCCGAACCCCACGCCGTATTTTTTTGACCCACTTTTGGGGGTACCAAAAATTTTTTTGCCCCCCCCCCAAAAAATTGTGTTCTGGATCCGCCCTTGCTTTGCGTTGGTAATTGTGTCACCAGAATCTCAGGAATATTTCTGATATATCTAGGGGATGTGTTAGGTAACAATAGTCTAGTGTGTGTATAGGTTATAGGGAGTTTCTTTTTTGGGGGGGGGGGGTACCCCTCTCGCATATCGTGCTGGGTATACGAAAATTGACCAAAATAAGCCCCATTTTAACTACAAAATTTTAATAATAAAAAAAAAAAGCAAACAAAATCAATTGTCAAATTGTTTGTAACAAATCGGAAAGATGTATATTATTCGTACAAATGTACCATTAGGGAGACACGTTATCGTAATTTCTTCAACAATAGGGAGACATCGGTCATTAGGGAGACCATTCATTCATGTCTCCCTAACTCCACAGCCCCCCTTTAGAGGCAAAATTTTGTTGTCGCAATCCGGTTATATTTGTTGCTCATGGTCTAATTAGTAAAAAATACCGAAATTCGTGAAAAAAAGGACAATGGAATATTGGGTTTGGGCACATTTAAGTTTGAAAATTGTTGTGCACAAGTCTATGGGAATGTCTCCCAAATTACCCCTTCCCGGTAATTATTATTATTATTATTATTATTATTATTAAAACTACATATGTAGCATTCGGGAGACGCGTTATCGTAATTTCTTCGACAACTGGGAGACATCGGTCATTAGGGAGACATTTTCACGTCTCCCTAATTCCACAGCCCCCCTTTAGAGGCAAACTTTTGCTGTCGCAATCGGGTTATATTTGTTGCTCACGGTCTAATTAGTAAACATACCGAAATTCGTGGAAAAAGGACCAGGGAATATGGGGTTAGGGCACATTTAAGTTTGAAAAATTTTGTGCACAAGTCTATGGGAATGTCTCCCAAATGAACCATTCTCGGTAAACACAAAGACTAGTACACTGTGTAAGTGTAAGTGAACAGTTTGTTAATGGAGGCAAAATATGTGCAGTAATGTTATAGTCACGTGGTATTTATCACAAATCGCTATAAATTTAGGTATACATCTGAAGTATGGTGTTGCATATGTGCCATCCGCGTCGCATTTTTGGGCGTCGCATTTTTAAGCTCTGGCAGGGATCATTTTGATAGATATCATGCAAGAATTTCAGGCAAGACGGCCAGATCTTATTGTGCACTCGCACTTGTTTAATTGATCAGAGCACAAGTCAAGCGCTATAGCTAGTTTAACTGTAATTATAATGAGTAAGTCTGCGTTTGCACCGTGTGAGGTGAAATCTCTTTTATCTTAATCTTTTTCTTGATTTGTCGACACTGTTTTTTGAATTTATCAAAAGAGGGTGGTATTCAAGAAGTATGAAGGCAGAGGGTTAATTGTCATTTTGTGTAGATTGTTGTTCTTTGTATATAATTTGTAACAAGTTTGAAAATGTTGGCATACAATTGTATTTGACTAAAATGGGAGGGGCAATTAAGCACGTGGCGCACACATTGTCCGGAATGCGCCCTCAGAGTTTAAAACGTGTAATTCGTCACCGTTTTCACGAAGAGCCACATAATTATGTCGATTTTGAAGAAAAAGCGTTTTCGAGATAATCGCAAAAGAAGTTTCTCCTATTTTAAAACTGCAAAAAATAGCAAGGAAACCATCACACTTTTCTGTGTGAGCTGGATGTTTACATGAACCCAGTAATAAGACTTAATTCAGCAGTTAATTAGTGAAAATTAATTAGTAAAGATATGTGGCTCTTCGTGAAAACGCAAATTCAGGTTTCTGACATATTGGCCCTTTCTGTTCAATGTGTATTTCCATAGGCGCGCGTGAGTACGCACGCGCAGCTGAAAATGTAACAAAGATATGTGGCTCTTCGTGAAAACGCAAATCTCATTTGACCTACTTTTACGTATTTCCGTGCAATGGGTTTTATACGCGTTCAAAGGGCCAAAATGTATGTGGCTCTTCGTGAAAACGCAAAATGCATATATCGAAATTTTGGCCCCTTGCGACATTAATGTCACTTGGAAATTAATGATGTTTTGCTTACAGAAACATGTCAAAATGGTTAAGTACATTGTTTTAAAGCAAACAATTTTGAGAAAAAAAACAAAATCGAAAAAAATGGTAATTTTTGACATAATGCTCTTCGTGAAAACGGTGACGAATTGTCCATCACGAAATGGTAATATATATATACTTATCTTCAAGCAAACTTGAATCCTCGATCCTGATTGGTAGATCCATGGCAACAAGCCGTGCTACATATAACCATACCGCACGGCCACGGTCCATACCGTACTCCGCGTATTGCGCTATTCTAAGCCTACGTGACGCGATTAGTGCTGCACAATTAACTGTGAATTCAAAAGTTGCACGTGCGTCACACAGTATGCGTGTTCCAACTTTACTGTGAGTCAAGTTTGCTTGAAGATAAATACGTTATCACGCTCGCGCTCATGGAACACGGAAAATGTAGTGCGTCTGTGTCCCACATGCCACTCGGCGTTTGGCCTCGTGGCATGTGGGACACAGACGCACTACATTATTGCGTGTTCCACTCGCGCTCGCAAGATAATTAATATTATCTTCAAGCAAACTTGATTCCTCGATCCTGATTGGTCGATCCATGGCAACAAGCCGTGCTACATAACCATACCGCACGGCCACGGTCCATACCGCACTCCGCGTATGTCGCTATTCTAAGCCTACGTGACGCGATTAGTGCTGCAAAATTCACTGTGAATTCAAAAGTTGCGGGTACGTCACACAGCATGCGTGTTCCAACTTTACTGTGCGTCAAGTTTGATTGAAGATAAATTTGTTTAACGAAATGATAATATATAGGCCTATACATGTAGTTTGAAAAAAAAACCAGTTGAATATGTAAGTTGAACATTTACAGTTTATATGTAATTATCGCGTAAAGCCAGGTTCATACTTCACGCGAAAGCGAATGCGAAGCGAATTTGACGTCATGAAACATTCGCTGCGAAATTCGCCCGAGTTGAAACGTGTTCAACTTTTACGAATTCGCAGCGCGAATACTTGCCACGACGTCATAAATTCGCGTTCGCTTTCGCGCTGAGTATGAACCGGGCTTAACGGTCGTGTTACAAAATTTGGGTCCTCAAATGTCGAACCATTGTAGCGCTAGCTATGGAGTCCCGTCCGTGCGTTAACAGAGAGGGCGCGTTTTTACCACGTTTGAGGGCCCCGTGAACGGGACGGGACCACTGATCTCTATATAAAGACTGGATAGCGGATATGCATACAACATTCACACAGTAGACTTTGCATATTGACCAATTCGCCCCCGGTCTCTCAAAGATGGCCGCGTATAATACGAACGTTCTACGCGTAACGCGCGCGTTGTATCAACAGTTGACGCGCATTTTGGTCACGTACACATATTATGATGTTCTAAAAAGGACACATTTCCGTAGTGATTATTATTTCAAAACGCCGAAAAAGTGATATTTGCGGCATTTTAGTAACCACGACATTAGAAAAACTGTAGTTAACCTTGGTCAGTGGTGGTGGTCAAAATATAAGTCAAGTGAACCGCGACGTTACAAAAGAAATCATGCTGTCTATAAAAACGGCAACTTGTCCTTTGTAGATCACCAGCCGGTCTCACCAATATGGCGTCAAATTCGTACATTGTGCGGCTCTGTATTAGCTATCCAGTCTTTATATAGAGATCAGTGGACGGGACCACTGATCTCTAGTGGACGGGAACATGACGGGACACACAGCGTGTGTGCGTACCATAGATATAGAATAAAAA